TTATATTCCACACGGGGCAAGAGATTATAGACTCAGGCACCTTATATTCCACACGATTATCATTATAGACAGAGAGGCTAAGTTGCTCAATTCCATTTCTGCACATAAAAAGACACCATCGATCTATATCCTGCTGATGCAGCCTTACCCTTACATCCCGCTCTGATATAACCAGGGTAAAGATCTTAACCGGTCCAGATCGCAGCATCAAAATGTTGCTTGTCATGTTTACCAAATTCAGGCGTCTATCGCCTTCGCATGCTCCCATCGATCGGTTGATGAAGCTGGTGTCAAATACCAACCGGCCATGGGAATACGAAACGTCCTTCCATCACTGGTGGGCGTAGCTTGACTGGTAGCAAGGGAATGCCACAATAGTTAGGTCCCGGGTTCGAATTCCGACAACTGCGATGAGATGTTACTATTCTAAAAATGCATAGGGCCTCTGCAAGTACCGGGGACAGAGCCCCACTCTCTATCTGTCAGATTGTGATTATAGTTCAATTTACATCCTCCCATCATGTCGTCCGGTCGGTGTTAGGGGGCCCTTAGGGATGAGGTGTCATCCTTTTTTTTTTTCACGAAACGTCCTTTCATTGAGGTGAGAGTGTCCAGAAACCCTAAGATTTTGTCTATGACCACCGATGGCAGTTCGCTTTTGATATCATTTGATGCAATGTCGTTCAGAAGGGGACAATTAGCCATTAGATCAAATAAATTAGGTTTTGAGACCTTACCAATCCTGCCGTTAATGATGAGAGCCTGAGTGTGTAAGGTGTTAGAGACTGTATAACCAATCTCTGTCCGTCGATCCAACTCGACGAGGAGTTGGACGAGAGGGTTGGGGGGGGGGGATTTTCCGTACAATTCCGTACAGTTGGGTCGTACGGATTCCATACAGTTGGGCCAGATTTTTTTCTTTTTCGACCGAGCCTCTTAGCTAGTTGCATTAGGGGTAGGTTTTGCTCTCTATAAATGCAAGCTCTCTCCTATTGTAATCTTGTGATCCAAAAATAGCAATAATATTCCTGGTTTGGTAGCGTCCCCAGACGTAGTCATTCTTGACGAACTGGGTTACCAAATTTCATGTGTTCTTCATTCTTGTTTTTCATGTGCGTGAATTAAATTCTTAACATAGTGGAACTTTCCAGCAAGCTGCAGATTTGATTTGCACAGATTCGAGTCACAGAATGGGTACCAATAACAAAGTATGGCAATACTCACTCTTATACCCACTTTATACCAACCATGTTTGTGAAGTATTTTTTTCTGTGAACCTGCTTCAGACAATATTTTGTTTGTGCAAAATATTGTTTGTGAACCGAGATTCACAGACAAAAAAAGCACTCCGCAAACATATGTAGATACAAAAGTGGGTATAAGAGTGGGTACAAACATCATTTTTGTTAAAACAATAAAACTACTCCGGATTGTACACTACTAGTAGAAAAAAAAACGAGAGGTACACCTTTTTGTGTATACCATTTATATGCAATTTATACCGTACAACCAGGTGTATTTTCGTAATTTTTTGACGTAATTCTTTGGGCCGTGTTCTTCCCTGCGTAAGTGGACTACGTATTGGAGGCTTGGAGCTAAGTGCCGGCCAACGTCCGTCCTTGATGGATTGCAGCGTAATGCACTACATGTTTTTTTTTTGGCTTTTTTGTTTGCTTTTATTTCTTTTTGCTTTTTCTTTAACCATCTTATTCATTCATTTCAAATTTTCAATTTATGATGAATATTTAAAGTATTAATTTCTTATTTTTCTATATTTAATTTATGAAGAATATTTATTAGTTTATTAAATATTATGTGCTAATTACTAACATGAGTTTTTTTATTATATTCAAATGAGTATAGTGTAAAATAAATATGCATAGATAAAATATTATTGTTTTTTAAAAACCGATTATACCTCAACGAAAGACTAAATTATTTTTCATATAAAATTCTTATATTTTTCCTTATTATGTTTGTCATTACGATACATGTGCACAAATGTACATTTAAACACATTAGAGAATTCAACTAGTTTTTGAAATTTTTATGCTCATTTTGTAAGTTACGTGTGTTCATCAGGTACTGGTTTTATGCTCATTTTAAAATATCATATTAATTCATATTTCAAAAGTTTCATATTAGATTCACATGAGGCATGGATAATGATACTAAATTGCATGCTTCTGATTCTCAATAAAAGAGGTTTGATGTTCAATGAAAATATCTTGAAGCTCAACTAACAATGCTTATGATTTTCATATTATTTCTCATTTGGTATGTTTTGTATGCTCATTTGGTATAGGATTTATGCTCATTTTAAAATGTTATATCAATGCATATTACAAAAGTATCGTATTACATAAGATTTACGTAGGATTTGATTATAGATATTAGATCGAGCACATACCTTGATACTCGATTGCATGTTTCTAATATTCAATAGAAGATATTTGATGCTCAATGAAAATGTCTTGATGTTCAATTAAAAAACATGATTTTCATATCAAAGCTTATTTTGTAAGTTACATATGCTCAATATATACTTATTTATGCTCATTTTTAAAATGCCATATCAATGCATATTTTAATAGTACTATATTACATTATATTCACATATTGAAGTTTCATAGGAGTTGATTATAGATATAATTTAATAATTTTTATAAAAGAAAAAAAAGAAAAAAAAGTGAATATAAGATATGAAGCAGAGATCTCGATGCTCAATATCAAACTCCTAATACTCAACAGAATTGGTCTGACGCTCAGTAAAAGTTCATTAATGCGCATTTAATAGAAACCATGAATTTCATCTCAATAGAGGATGTTTGATGCTCAATGAAAATGTCCTGATTTTCAACTAACAAACTTTACAGTTTTCATATCAATGCACATTGTGTAAGTTACATAAGCTTATTTCGTACTGATTTTATGCTCATATATGTAAAATGTCATATCAATGCATATTTAAAAAGTGTCATATTACATTAAATTCGCATGTCATGGTTTTTGGTGAATGAGCGTTGATGCAATTTTAATGAGCACCAAACCTATTATGTTAAGTATTAGGAGTCTAATTTTTTTAAAATATGCATTGATATAACATTTTAAATTGAGCATAACACCAGTACAAAATGAGCATACATTACTTATTAAATGAGCAATGATATGAAAATCATAAGTTGAACATCAAACCTCCTTTATTGAGTATCAGAAACATGCAATTGAGTATCATGATCTCTACTTCCATGTATATAATTAACTCTTATGCGAATCTAATATGATACTTTTGAAATATGAATTAATATGACATTTTAAAATGAGCATAAAATCAGTATCAGATGAACATACGTAACTTATAAAATGAGCATCGAAAAATTTAAAAGCTCATTTGAATTTCCTAATGTGTTCAAATGTTCATTTGTGCACGCATAATGACAAATATAATAATTTATAAAAAAATAATTTATAGTTGTTCGTTCTCGAATTACAAATATAATCGAGTTCTTTTTATAATTTTTTACCCATGCATACTTATTTTACACCATACTCATTTTAGTATAACACAAAACACGTTTGTAATTAACACACAATATTTAATAAAGTGGTTGAAAAAGTAAAAGTTGTGGTTGAAATTTGAGTATAATAAAGTGAAATAGTGTAGACCACATATTTCTTTCCAAACAAGGAAAGAAGACACTTATTTCGGGACAACCCAAAAAGGAAAGTAAAACATGTAAAATAGGACGGAGGGAGTATATGTTTTAGTCCTATATATTGAGTAATTTCTTTCTAAATTAAAAAATCAAAGGGGCTTCACCTATCCGAAACCAGTGTTCGAGAAAAAAGTTGTGATGTAGGCAGGCTATCTGAAACCGGTCTAAGCTATGGCACTAAGCGCTACATGGCTTCAGAGAACTGGACAGAGGCCATGCTGAAGTTGATTATGTAAAGGGGGGGTGAGCATCCCCGCAGCAACTTCACAAAGGCTTGGCAAAAGCTACTTTACCAGGGAGGGCTCAAATTGCACCTGATAAGGCTATAGACTTATAGAGTGAATGTGAAGGGGATCTTGTTTTCTACTTGGATGATTTTGCCCCTGTTTGTTTAATGACAGTTGAGGTGCAAAAACGCTACATCGTGCAGCATTTCCAATTGTAAAACATCATCTTTTTGGAGTGAAACGCCAGCACCCAAACACCCTCTTAACCTCTTTTTGTCCCTATCAAAGATGGGCAGAGGCAACATACTTCTTGTGAAAATGAGGCGCATGAGACTAGAGTTTCACATGAACCACCACAGATGGACCATTTCCAGAAGACAGAAAAGTTCTGCATGTCAGTGAAGGGATCTGTAGCCGCTCCCTCCCTGATTCAGGAGTACTTGCGCAATGCATGGAGTTGACTTTAAGAAGGCATTGTTCTGTTCCCAACGTACCATCATCCATTTACGATGTGGGTACCAGTTCCTTGAACCCTGCAGATAATCAGATTGATCTTTCTTGGCAGTTGGCATTAACTCTTCAAAAACCTCATCTCGGAGAAAGGTAGAGGGATGGTGAAAACAGGCAGATCATATATGCGCAAGGGCTGATAAAGAGAAATGAATAACAAGTTTGGAAACAGCACCGTTAAATTAATTGGCTCAGGGACAATGACCGTTAAAATAATAAGTTGGTCCACTTTCAGGTCCGGGTAACTGGCTCCTTGGACTTAGTGAGTGATGTTATGAAATTAGTAAAGAAATAAGGTTCTAAACAGGCTTTGGATTTCTTCATTTTACATTGCAACATGGTAATAATACATGCTACTGATAAAAACAAAGCGAGCGATACATATTGAAAGCACAGGGCATCAAGCATCATTCAAAAACACACATTCATAAATACCCACAGCAAGATTTTCTTAGAAATGAAAGAATTATCAACCATACAGTTCTTCCCTTAAAAGAAAATATAAAAATTTAGGGGGCGGCCAAATAAGAAAGTTTGAAGATCATAAAGAAAGCAGTGAGAATAAATAATACTCTGTAATAAAATCTCCACTGTAAATTTTATTTAAACAAACTTCCAGACAAATGAAGTAATTACATGTTTCTTCCACTTCTATTCTAACTATGTTTCAATTGCACGACTGGCATTGAGCCAGACACTTTTAGTGCTCCAACTAATGTTACAATGTCGATCCTTCAATTATTATAGCAAAACTGAAGGACGATTGAAAAAAATGTCAAAATCACAACAGTGACATAAGTCAGAGGACTAAAAGTGAAAAACTTTACAATGGTAGAACTACAAGGGAAAAAACACAATCAACTACAAAGCAAGTTAGAGGCAACATTCTCATAATACATGGAAACACTTTGAAAACCTCATGACAGCCAACCTGTTGAGCTAGAGATTGTACTTTTAGGACATGCACTTAGCATAGTGCAGCAAATTCCAATAACTCAGGAAAACCAGCAATCCCAGCAATCCTGGTACTCCATGAAGACAATACGCGCTTTTGGAGAAGCACGAGGGAAACTCATCAACTCCCTTGTGATCATGAGAGACATGGAGGCATTGACATTACATGAACCCATAATCACAAGTTCCTCTAGGACTGGGGATTTTAAAAGGATTGTTCTAACGTAGTGCATTTCCTGTTTGAAACCGTGAAATGGTTGGATCATCACTGTTTTAAGCATGACCAGATCCTTATCAATTATAAAGCCGCCATTTATAGAATCTTCCAAAACGCTTGGAATTACATCTTCTGAACTTGTCTATACCATCACGAGAAAAAAAGAAGTTAAAAAGTGTAAAACCTATGGGAAATTATAAAAAAAAAATCTCACTTACCAAATGCACGTAGGGAGATGCACCGTCTATTCTCAGATCCATTAGCTTTGGGCATTTTTGAAGAAATTGGATAGCCAGGTTGGTGTCCTTCTTGCAAGCAAAGTTGATTCCCCGCACTTTAATTATTTCTAAACTTGGAGCAACTGGGAAAACCGGTGAGGTTATGGCATCAGATTTAAGCTTTAGAAAAATGTAAACAACAAAAGTTAGCCTCAAAAGAACTGAACAGATAAAAGAAACTACAAAACGTCTTTGCTTCTAGGAGAAACTACTGTATTGTTATATGATAGGTACTAGTCTGATTATTGAGTAAGGAAACTTTTAATCCCTGAACGTGGGAATGACACTTTTAATACGAGGAAAGTGTCAAATGAGTACATGAAATTGCGAGCGGGAGAGTAAAGAGTACATGATTGTGTAAGTGTGACTCAGAGGTACCTTAACTCAGAAAATAAGTGCTAATTTAGTCCACTCATAGATTAGGGCGGCTAAAACGCTGAGTTGTGAAAAGGATTAGTGATATGGTAAAAAAAAACACCTCATCCCTTACTCCATGTTAATAGTTCCACAACCCTACCTAGTAAATAAATAAATGCAGCCTTTTGTTTTTTTTATTAAAATTAAGATTCAAAGGGCATAACAGAATTCGAACAGGGCATACATTTGCTGATACACGGCTTATGAGTAGCTCTGCTGCTGGCCATACGTGTTAGTCCCACGAGAAGGATACATGTCTGAATTGAATGAGAGAGTGGAATCAAAATAAAATTTGGTGAATTAGTAGAATTGTAAATCAATCTAGATTAAGCTGCAACCGAACCCAAAATTAAGTTAAAGAAAAAGAGTCGAGAGACCTCTTTAAATCAAAGTGGGCAGAAAGTTGAATAGAGTAAGCCTATTGACTCATGCGAAAGGAGGCGATGCTGCAGCGGCGGCGTTGATGGGCAACGAATGGAGGGCGGCGGCGGCAAGGATAAACCGCGACTGTAAGACCTGAAACCCTTGCACTGCAGACCTGGCTTACAAGGTAGGGTTGTAACCGGATGATGTGGCTTGTTTTTTATGCCATATCACTAATCTGTTTGCCAACTCAGAGTTTTAAACTCCTAATGCCTGAGTGTACTAAATTAACACTGATTTTACGAGTTAAGGGACTTCTTAGTCACGCTAACACAATTATGTACTCTTTACTCCCTCGCTCACAATTTGATGTACTAATTTGATGTACTGATCTGACACTTTTCTCCTTTTAATACAAACTTTCATAAGCCTCCACTTAGACTTTTGACTATTACAACATATCAACTATGCTGCCTAGTGCCTTCTTTATATTCTACAATTTAATGAAGCTGACATTTTGCTACTCATCGTTCACTAGGGCCAAAAGTGTTACTACGACAAATGTAGGAGAACTAAAGTGAAAAAGTTAAACAAAAAAGTACCAAAAGTGTCATCCACACAATATATCAACCAACAATGCTTGTTGTACCCACTCTTATACCCACCTTATACCCACCATGTTTGTGAAGTGTTTTATCTTGTCCGTGAACCCGATTCACGGACAATATTTTGTTTGTGCAAAATATTGTCTGTGAAACGAGGTTCAAAGAAAAAAACACTTCACAAACATAGGTGGGTACAAAAGTAGGTATAAGAGTGGGTACAATTGTACAAACATCATTTTTGATATACCAACAGTGACAAAGACTCATCTTTTGTTGTTTCTGTCAATTATAAGAAAATGTAGTGACAGTAAATTATCAGACTCACCCACAGAGGATCCGTAGACAATAAAAGAGTCTGAATTTGGGTCTGATGAAGAGCAAAACATCCCCATTCATCAGTCACATAAGGAGAAACAATTGCACCCAAGCCTGTAAGCTTTGGAGCATTAAACACAAAATTACTGATCCCGTCACAAGGAAATAAAACCAGCTCCTTAAGATTAGGAAAACTGGTGGCAATTCCACTAACATTCGGCTTAAACTCTACATCTTCCAAAACTAATAACTGGACACTGGGAAACACATTGCGGGGTTCAACGGGGCAATCAAGAACGAACCCGCGGAGAAGGAGAAGATTTATTGTCGGGCAAGAGAGTATACAATTGGGCAAAGTATATCTCGGACGGGGATATGAAATGGAGAGCTCAAGCTCCACAATTCCCTTCCTTGACAGGAAAAGACACCACCGGTACAGATCAGACTGCTCCGGGGTAGGATCATCCCTATGGTTAATGTGAAGCTCAAATTTGGTAACTTGGCCGGCTCGGAGCATGAGAACATTATTTATTGTCTTGATGCAATCAAGGCGATGATGGGTTAATCTGAAAAATCGGAAGAAGTCTGAATCAAACACAAGGTGCCCGTGATTATACCAAACATTCATCCAATTGGTAGAGAGAAGAGCGGTTCTGGCGGCGTCTCGAGTGGGCAAGAACGTCAAAATTAGGTCCTTTACGTCTGCTGGCAGTTTACTTCGGCGAGAATGACGAGTCATTAGAAGTCGGAAGTTAATCGGCGATGTGCCCTTGTACAATCTCTAACCCTGATACGGGCGAACTGGCGGCACATATAGCATAGATTTGTACTTTCTTTAATGTTCAGAGCTGACTAACTCCGTGTCGGGGACACCGGTTATTTTGGAGTATTATCTTCGTCAAAAAAGTATTTGTACTCATTAAACATTTCTTTATATCCATCATGTTGGTGTAATACTTCTTAAATAAGTGCAACATGCTAAATTTTATATTATTCATATGTTCTATTATGACTGCATTTTATTTATTGATGTATTAATATAAGTTTTTGAAAAAAAATATTATTATTAAATTTGTCTCATTGTAAATTTTCAAAATCTGCTTTTTCTAATTTTTTTAGTAACATAGAATTATATATATTAACGGTCAAAGTTGTATCTCGAAAAATGTGAAATGTTGATTGTTGCACTTATTTAAGAATGGTTATGAGGTATAACAAGAATGGTTATATCTTCATCTTACCTTAAAGTTTTTCATTCTGACATACTCCCAATAAAAAAAGACATACTCCGTAATTTTTAACAATCAAATAAAATACTCCATAAATGATTAGAGAAAGAATGGCACCTATATTAGTACTAATGTTTTCAATTCCAAAAATATGACTCCTACACACTTGAATTGAATAGGCACAATCAGTTAATCCAACCACTTCAGTCAGAAATTCATAAACTTCAGCAGAATCGACCGATTTTGGTATTACCAAACGGACGCTTAGTTGGGATTTCTACCATTATAACCCTAGGTATATCTTTCCACCTTTTAGAATATTTAAGATGTTTTTCATTGAATTAGTTCCAGTCTTAGACCAGGTCAAACCATAACATACCATATCAAACTAGACTGCACTTCAACAATTGTAAAATACACATAGAACAAATATCTACCAAAGTAGACCCATTCATATCAAATCAGAACAAATTAGATTTAAACAGATCAAATCAGTTCAGAACATTTGAGACTAATTAAAAGCACCCTTACACGAGATTTATATGTGAAAAGAGAATATCACTCTAACATAGATTAACACAATTTTACTCAAACACAATTTCACTAGACTCTACTATAAAATTTCACTCAAACACAAAAAATGAAATTAATACAATTTTACCATACTCATACACAATTAATAATCTATTGTAATTATTAATCTTCTTATTCACTATTAATTTATTTATCTTCTTATTTCTTACTAATTTAATAATTACTTTCAATTACAAGGTCATTTAGAATTAATAAATACTTTTTATTATTTAACGTACACCAAGTTAATAATTATTTAAATACGTTTTCAGATTATATTTTCTAATTAAAATAGAATTGTAAACTAATTATCTAAACATTTTCAAGTGTATATTTTCTAATGATAAGAGTATTTTTTTTATAATTCTCTATTGCATCTAAATGAAATTAAACTTTTCAACTATCTTCACCTAAACAAAAAGAAAAAGAAAATGCTCAATGTCTATTTTTATCCATTAAATTTCATCTGGCTTATTGTTTTTATCAAAACTAACTACACACTTTTGTAATTTATTTACCTGAAAATGGGTGTAGTCAATAAAATGTTCAATGCCTATTTGTATCCATTAAAGTTCACCCGTGGATGATTGCTTTTTCAAAACTAACTAAACACTTTTATAATCTATTCATCTAAAAATGGGGTAGTTAAATTTTTTTTTGTAGATATAAGTCCTTATTTTTCTTAACCGATAATTCAAATATATTTCGAGAAATAGTTTTGATGAGTATATAATATAATAGAGCCATTGAAGATAAATGTGGTGTTAAAGATGTTTTTTTTACTATTTGATGATTAAATTATCATTAAAAAGTGTTATTTATTTCTCAAATTGAAGATGTGGGTTCGTGTAATATACTTCGTACTATTTTGATAGAGGTTCGTGTAATATACTTCGTACTATTTTAAGCAAGTAATTTTTTGTTCTTATTATTCAATTAATTTATGGTTCTTATGATTTCTTGCTCCTCTTCATAAATCTCAATTAACAGGTTTTTACGTTATTGATCCCATGCCAGTCAAGTTGGAAACATTTTAATGGATATAGGGAGTAATTTTAAAGACTTCAAACATATTACATTCGTTAACTTTGGCTGTTGTTTTTGCGCAAATAACATTCAAGTACGGTTTACAATATCCCCTGTTTTTTCTTTAACCATCTCGGCAATAGGAGTTCTAGAGAGCATTGACTTATTGAAATTTCTGACTTTTCCCTTACGGGAAGTGTAATTGTACATTGCATAAGTAGTAAAAGTGCTTCAAAATTCAATGTACTAAATAACGCTTTCGAGGAGTCCATAGTAATGCTAGATTTTTAGTGAGCACTCCCTCAGTCTAAAAACTAGCATTTATTTGTTGGTTGATTTTCACAATTAAATAGTGTCATTTAGATTGTGCTTAAGTTTTATATTTATTACTTTCCTTAAGTTTTATTTGAAAGACGCTCATATCCACATCTTCATTTTTACTTCATCATTTCTTTGGTTAAAGCAACAAATATGACACCAATAAAGTTGATTGTCTCATATCACTATTGATGCCCAAAAATGTTGGATAGTATTTTTTACACAAGTACCGGGTGCTATGACTATTGAATTAGATATCAACATCTTTTTCGGTAATTGGTGCTCTTTATATGTCATGGAGTAGAAGCGGCACCGTTAAATACTTTTCTTACATTCTACGGAATATTATAAAACTAAAAACTAAAATATCTTTTACCCGAGTAAAAATTAAGATGGCATGTGTTAAAATTTGCTACATGATACACATTTGTCTTAATGATATCTGAAATCTGTGTTCACCTTTCAATTCAAGGATATTTTCAATTGGAATCAATTTTTTTATTTGATCTACAAAAGTAAAAGTGTTTTTTTCTTTAGTGTATAGATTAAATATTAACATAAATCTTGATATATTTTTTCCGGCAGTTTCAGATCTCTGAAATCTTTATTAATTGCATATATATAGAAAATCATATCATGATAATAAAAGTAGTATTTGAGAGCTAGATAATTTTCTCTTAAAGAGCTAATATCTTTAGTAATTTGCTCACTAAATTCTAGAAGGGCTAATATATTCAAAAAAAATGATCACACTCATTATTAAATAAATAAATTACAAAATTGTGTACTTATTAAATTAGTTCAAAAAACAGTAAACTACATATGAAATCTAATGGATAAAAATATGCATTGAGCAATTTCTTTTTTAGATAAATACACAATTTATCTAAAGTTCATCTAAGCAAGTTCTTTTTTTATAAAACTACGAAGTTCGTTTGGATGTAACTGAGTGTTATAAAAAATTTGTTTTTATGATTGTGTGTGTGTGTGTGTATACACAAATGTTCCTGTCAGGTATACCTGACAGGAACAGCCATCCGGCCTCCTCCTTTTGGGGGCCTTCCCGGTGGTATTTTTTGCTCAAATTTTTTGTGTATGTTCCGCATCAAGTCTAGTTCATCCATACCAAATTTCAGCAAAAAATTCAATCGGGAAGGTCGTCAAATGATTTTTGCAAGTTAACTGGTCCGGAAAATGTATTTTTCATGTATTTTCCGGACCAGTTAACTTGAAAAATTCATTTGACGACCTTCCCGATTGAATTTTTTTCTGAAATTTGGTATGGATGAACTAGACTTGATGCGGAACATACAAAAAAAATTTGAGCAAAAAATACTACCGGGAAGGCCCCCAAAAGAAGGAGGCTGGACGGCGGCTCCGGTCAGGTATACCTGACCGGAAGATTACTCTCTCTCTCTCTCTCTCTCTCTCTCTATATATATATATATATATATATATATATATATATATATCTCTAAAATCTTATAAGAGTGAATGATGGTAAGGGTGCTTTGGGTAGTAAAAATGTGTTGGTAGTAATGTATAGCTATAGATGCTTGTACAATATGCTTCAACTTTTGCACACCTAACTAAACGGGTAATACAATACTAACGTTTTTGTCCTCCGTCCCGTTCCCGTTACCAGTTACACTCATTCGTTTTATCATTTATGTAGTCTCGTCCCATCTCCGTCATCTTCACCCCGGAGGCCCAAATTGATTTTCAATTTAGCCCTAAGCCCCTAGCCGATGAACTTACCCTTTTGCGTCTGGCATTTCACCACTCCCTGGCCTTCTCTGCGGGCCCCAGCCAACCAAACATTTGGGCAGGTTTGCTCCTATCAGCCGCCCAGGCAGAAATAACTAGGGATAAAGCAGGCGTGTGAAGTGGTCTGCTGCATACGGGTAAGTACGAATCGCATTTGTTGTTTCCGTTAGTTTTGATTGAATTTCTTGTTTACTTAATCATTTAATCTCCCTCCAATTATGGTGTAGTCATGTGAAATCACAAAGGTTGGCAAGCTTACCTTTATTGTTCGTCATTGCCTCATTAGTGAAGAACATCTTACGAACTTGGTAGTTACCTTTCAAGAATCTCTGTCCAATCTTCATTTGTCCGGTAAAACACAATTTTTGTGCTCTTTACCTAAGTGGTGTAGGTAAAATATGTAGTTCTTCCTAGTGGATAAGTCACTAATCATTCTAAAATGCATTTTAAGAAATTTTGAAATATAACTGAATTGTATATTTTCTTTCAATTTTTTTTTTGAAAAAAATTTGAAAGCTTTTTGGGTGTTAGTGTTAACACACGTTATAAAGCAACTATCTTGTTCCATGTTTCAGAACACACACATACCTCCTGGCAGTGAGTAATTGTCTTTAAATTATTAATGCACTGCAAACACTTCTAACATGGAAAGCTGAATTTTCCAAATGTGTCTTTTTTTTTAAAACAAAATAGTAGAGTGTTTTGTTTAGTATCAATGAGCCAGCAGAATGAATGTTATGATTTAGTGTGGTCCAAATTCCAATCATTTCTGCCGATGCTCAAATTTTAAGTTTCCCCCATGCTTTACTTTTTACCATTGGATTGAATTTATTCCATTGCACTTTAGGAGCAAGTGTTACTACTCCAGCCTTAATCTTCAAAGTGTATTCAACAATAGGCTTTCAAAGCATTTACTCTTAATACTGATTTGGGAAGAAATAATGAAGTGTATGGAGACCTAAAACTGAGATCTAAATGTGTTTGTAAATTTGTCTCAATGACAATTTTTGCATTTTTATTGATGGCTCGTATTAGTGTCTATCAAAAGTCATGCAGGGTTTAATTGAGAAACAAAGTTTCAGATTCTATGAAAGCAACACTTAATAAATTTAATAGCATTGTTGGTTTGTCTTAGTCGTCATAAGAAAGGCTTTCTATGTTGTCCCCTTCAAAACTTTGATTTAGAAATGTGATTTTCATTAAAGTGATGCAAATTTTGCATCTCTTGATTTAATAATACTCTTCAATCTTCATGTGTAGATAACTCTGGGTTTTATCTGTAGCTGAAAGTGAAAAAATCCCATTATGTATGTAACTTAAGGGATTCATAGGATTACTCATTTTTATCATCTTACTATAGAGACCCACTTCCTAATCATTCAGAACCTTATTCGCCTAAAAAGTTATATGTTCCACATGCTGATTCTTCTTTTTATCATGGTTTTAATTAACTTTGAAACTTTGAGGGAATAATAGAATCAATTGTAATCATATCTCATAGACACCTGTCGACAAAGAAGTTGTCAATTTGTTTTGAACCTGAGATGAAAATATTTTGCCAGTTATTTCTTTTACGATTCTTGAAGGACATTCTTTGAAACTTTGTCACTGTCTTTTGTTTATTTTGGTTTATTAACTTATTCTATTTTCTTATATGTAAAACATTAAGCATTATCGATCTCACTGAGTCTTTTATCTCGAAATAAAGGCATGCGATAATACGTTCTATGAAACTTTGTCACTGTCTTGTGTTCTCATGTATATACACAGAAAGCATGCTTAAAACATTCTTTTAAGCATTATCGATCTCGATAAGTCTTTTATCTCAAAATACCTAACTAGACCCATGAAATAAAATTAGTGTATACAATCTATTCCATTAACGGTATTGTCTAAACTAATAAAAGAGAAAACAGGCAAATAAGCCCTTGAACTATTTGCGTTTTTGCAATGAGGCCCTTGAACTATTTGCATTTTTGCAATGGCGTATTTGCTTTGAACTATTTGCTTTTTTATGTTCCTTTTTACCTGCTGGTACATGTAAGGAGATGAGAAACTATCAACACCAGCGGGTAAAAAAGGATCCGATTGCTTGATTTTTAATGAGTTGAGGGGTGTATTTGTAATTCTTCCGGTTCAGAGTTAAAAACCATAATAGTTCAAGGGCCTCAAAGTTTCAAAGACTTAAAAATATGCACATTTTCAACAAAAAATGCGTTGGGCACTAATGCAATCGCGCATCGCGCGTGTGAAAACTAGTATATATATATAGAGAGAGAGAGAGGGCAGTTCACATCAGGAGCTCCTGAAGAGAAGTCCCGTGCGGACAAGCCCATCAGAGGGTCTTCCCGGTGGAATTTTTGGATGCAATTTTTTGAGCATGTTCCTCATCAAGTCTAGTTTGTTCATACCAAATTTCAGCTCAAAATTAGATCGGGAAGGCAGTCAAATAAATCCTGGAAAAATATGGCGCATTCTGCGCACATATAATGTGCAGTATGTTTCCAGGATTTATTTGACTGCCTTCCCGATCAAATTTTGAGCTGAAATTTGGTATGGATAAACGAGACTTGATGAGGACCATGCTAAAAAAATTCATCAAAAATTTCCACCGGGAAGACCCTCTGATGGGCTTGTCCGCACGGAGCTTTTCTTCAGGAGCTCCTGATAGGAACGAGACTCATATATATATATATATATATATATATATATATATATATATATATATATATATATATATATATATAGACTAAGGACATACTTAGAAAATTAGTTAAAATATAAGACATTTTCAATAAATAAAAATATGCATTATCAATCAATGTTATAAACACTGTTCTAAAAGTCGCTCTAGGCGCCCGACTAGTCCCCGCCTAGGCGCTAGGCGGTGGTCGGGCGCCCCGATTTTTGTCTAGGCGCTCCGACTAATTGGTTTGGCGCATAGGTGAATTAGTCGGCCGCCTATGACGCCTAGTTGCCCGCCCAAAGCGCCCAATCTGTGCCTAGGGCGTCTAGATTCATCAAACAATTTTTTATTTTTAATTTTCTTTTTGTAAAAGATATATGTACCTTTAACTTTAATCACGAATATGAAGAAAGATACTTGTAAAGTAAGATAAACACTATATATGTTTGTGTATATATATATATATACTTAAATTTTATTATTACTTAATATCTATAACATAATGTAGTTAAGTGATTAGTTATCATATATTATTTCATGTGACAATTCAATCATTCATGCATGTTAATGTGTGTGTATATATTTTTCATACATACACAAACAAGATACTACCATTTTACTATGTACTACCTCCGTCCCACTAAGATTGAGACGGAAGAAGGTGACATGGTTATTAAGAAAAGTGAGTTTATGTGGTTGATATTGAATTGAAAAAGTAAAAAAATAAAGTAATAATGATTTAGAACCACACAAACTTTACCAAATTTAGTATGGGACAATCTTAGTGGGACTTCCCAAAAATGTAAAATGGGACATCTTAGCGGGACGGGGGGAGTATTACTTATCATGTAAAAATATTAATAAAAATACAATTGATGTGCCTCCCGTTAGTCCCCGCCTAGGCGCCCGCCTAGCCGCTTAGGCGCTAAGTACTGGGCTGTCGCCCGACTAGCACCTAGTGCCTTTTAGAACCTGGGTTATAAATGACTAAATAAGTAACTTTCGTTAATAAGTTAACGACTAGCATTATCCTCACGGTTAATAACTCATACTTATACCTGTGCACGCAAACACACATATACAATACTATTAAAACAAAATCATTTGATCACGTGCACGGCACGGGTAAAGATACTAGTAGAGATGTGAATTGCACCTCATAAAAAGTGGACACATAGTCCGTGGAGCTTACGTGGCAAAGTTGCACGTAAACGATTAAATTAATATTATAATTGCATTTTTTTATTACAAATTTGACACAAATTAATTACACCAGTGAAAATAAACCAACCCATGGCAAAGTTGTCTTTTATGAAAGAATCATGCCACCAAAAAACATAACAAACCTCGCTTAATGATAAACTACCAAAAATTGGGGATACGGCCAACTAGATTGTAGATTGGTGTCTGTGTCTCTAAGAAGATAATTTGTGCTTTTGGAGAGGCGCGAGGGAATTTGATCATCTCTCTCGGCATTCTGAAAGCTGTTTGGGCATCAATCTCAGGCGATTCAAGAATAACTACCTCCTCAAGCATGGGTGACTTTGAAAGGATTGTTTTGATGAAAAGCACCTCGTATCTCAATCCCCTAAATTGTTCCACCTTCACTTTTTTAAGCATGTTAATATCCTCACCATTTAACCAACTGCCTGGATCTGCCGAAGTGCTTGAAGAATCTCCATGCATCTCATGAAACTATAACAAGATCAAAGAGCATAATGAAAAAAATGGAAACCTTTTTAGTATTGGGCATAGCTTGTTAGTTTAAATTTTGACCTGTGGTATACATATACATATGTTAGGCCGTGTGTAGGATAGATATTTCATGTTTACTAACTTCAAAAAGGAAAACAGAAAACGTGTTTCCAAAAAAAACAATTGCTTGAAAATTGTAGAAAGGAAAACAGGAAAAAATGTTTACCAAACCGTTTTCCAAAACCCAAAAAATGAGAAAAGTGTCAAATTGGCCCTCCTACTTTGTACGAAAAGTCAATATTAATAAAATTGAAATAATATTAAACCACCAATTGACATGACATTATGCCCTCGGGGGGAGTTATCCGTTCAAAGTGCTAATTTAGTTTGCAGTTCGAAGTACAAACTCGAGTAGCGTGTTAACCTACATCACTACTATTTTTATTATCGATTTGCCTAAAATTTTTTACATTGAACAACAAAATTATGAAGCCCAATCACTCAACGTACACTAGTCAAGTACTCAACACCGAACCAACAGGTCTACGAGTGTGGCGATTCATAAGTTCTCAAACTAAATATCAACTATTGCACGCTCTCAATCCCATGCTTTGCACGAGTTATTGTGTGCTCCTATTCATAGACACTAAATGTGCTCCTACATCACTACTATTTTTATTATCGATTTGTCTAAATTTTTTACATTGAACAACAAAATTATGAAGCCCAATCACTCAACGTACACTAGTCAAGTACTCAACACCGAACCAACAGGTCTACGAGTGTGGCGATTCATAAGTTCTCAAACTAAATATCAACTATTGCACGCTCTCAATCCCATGCTTTACACGAGTTATTGTGTGCTCCTATTCGTAGACACTATACTTCGACCTCAGAGGGGGTCTGTAGTACAAGACTTTCGCATTCGAACTGCAAACCTCGAGCAGCAACTTGTGTCCTACCTATGGGTCCTGAGCCAAACTCTAGGGTGTGCCTTTGTCACTTAATTGGTATTCACATTTCCCAAAAGTGTCGAGATGTTTTAGCACTTTGGGAGATGAGTCGTCCATTTTGAACACACGATTCACGATTCCAATCTTAGCCTCTAAGGGCGAGTTGAGCTCTAGCTTGGAAACTTGAGGTCACTATTTTCGAGTAATGAGGCTCAAATCCAAATAGCGAACTCCAAATTCTAAAACTTATGATCATACTATTTAAATGCATTAGTATAACTGAATGAGCATTATTGCCTCATATCGAGTTTTCAAGGATTGGGGGACTGAAGAAATAAGGGTCTCATTGTTGCCAATAAAAAGACACAAGGGATGAGCTCACATGAGTAAAGGCTGAAGCTCGGCTGAAGGATGATGAAGCTTAAGCCGAAGGACAAAGCTAAGATACTAGACACATCAAACTACAGTGAAGAATCAAGACTTACCCTTTTTGCTTCATTTTGGGGGAGTCCAATGTACATTTTTTTCTTACTAGATTGTTTTTCTACTAGATTTTTTTGAGTGAGGTTTTTAACCGAGCCATCTCTCCTCATTAACAAGGGTGGGGGGGGCTTCCGACCAAGGAGGAAGCCACCAAGGAAGAAGACATGTAGCAAATACATTTGCGGACTAGTCCTATTCACCTTGAGGGCTCTAGCATTAGCAAGTGGAGGGCGCCTTATAGAATATATTATCCCAGATATCCCAGACAATGGTGTTCTGTAATATGTATTTAGTAATACATGTTTGGCGAGTCTATTAGTTTAGATTTTGGCCCATGGCATATGTTAGCCCATGGTCTCCCATATATAGATAGATAAATGTTTTGTAAACCTTAAGAACATTCATACACAAACCCTAACTATTATTCATCTTCTCCAGTAGATCAACTAGAGTGTCTATTGACTTGCACTCATATATCCTAGACTCGTCAAGATTTTTTCTTGCATACTACACTTGGGAAATAAATATTCCTTCTTCACTTTTCTTTACTTGTATGACTCTAAATTATATGTTTGGATGCCCTAATATCCACCTAGCATATGCAATAAAAAAGTTAAAAATAAAAAAGTTATATATTTTCAATTGTTTGGAATTCAAAAGAAATAATAAGAACACATATGAATCAAGACAGGGAAAATGACAAGAAATGGAAACTAAAAAAATGACAAAGTCAGAAATGATGGAGGTAGTATACATATGTATATATACACACCCAGACACACATGTATATATTTATACATACAGGAAAATGAAAGCAATGTTTTTTCGATTTTACGGTTTGAGATAACAAAATTAAGTAAGGTCATTTTTCTAAAAGGTAATGACTAAATAATCTCAAACATATCTACCACAATTTCTTCCTCTCATCCTTTGCCAGTTGCGGGTCGAACTAGCTGGATTCTTACTTTAAAAAATCACCCAAAAGTTTGCCAGAATTTATTGCAAACGGTTATAATAAGATGTGTGCTAGTGCAACACGTGACAGTGTACCAGCGACACACCTGGGGCATTACATAAAGTATCACAAACAATTATTTTTGTACTTGAATAATTAATACTCCGTACTACGTAACAGTTTTTTCTTAACAGTTTTACTTGAGAAATTAATACGCAATACATTATTTATCAAATTATTTTTAAAAAATCGATTTACGAGTTTAATTGAACTTAAAGTTAATGTAATAGTTAAGTTATTGATAGAAGTAAAAAATGTATATACTTAAAAACTAGATTAAGAGCTCTATAAGGAATCACAAAAATCATTTCTAAAAATGAATTCAAATGAATACTTAAAATTAGAGGATAAAATGAAGTTGCTTGATCAGAAAATGTAAGACTGAAAATATTTTGGGAGGGAGGAAGTATGTGAGAAGTCGTATAGGTTAGGATTTACTACCTTATCATGCATCAAGATTTCCAACTCAGATAGCTTTGGACATTTTTTAAGCAGTTGCAAAAGAAGAGCAAATGGCTTCTTGTCAACATAAATGAAATGAATCAGTTTAATCACTTCCAGGTTTAATGCTGTTGGGAACGAAGGCCTGTGTGCATCCAGCTGCAGGTGTAAAAGCAATCAAGATTCCAGAGAAGAAGAAAATTATTCATTCAAACAAAAACTTCAAAACAAAACTGCTTGAAATAAAACTAAAACATAGTCATATTCCAAAAATAAGACTAGATGTTTTATTTTCTTTAAATAGGACTAAACATTACGGTTTTACCCTTAATGTACTTAATTGCCTCATAGTTACCTAGCATAACTAGGGCAGTCCCTTGCTGGCTGTAGTCCAGCAGCAGAGGCAGCACTCCTGCAGCGACAGCCAGCCACCAGCGTCGGTCCAGCAATCTGGCGGAGACACGGCTCCAAACCAGGGTATTTTTGTCCAAACACAAGTTATAAATCTTATTTATGAAGCTTTAAACATTAGATTCTATTTCTTGAAAAATGAGCTCGAGAATTCTCCACTGTGGGAAAAATATCATTAAAATGAAAGAAAGTTTCTCACCATGATGAATTCGTTGGACAAGTGAAGCGTCTTAATTACTTTGAGATGAAGCTCAAACCACTTCCATTCAGTAGCAAATTTACTACGAGTAACTCTGAAGGTTTTCAGTTTTGGAGCACTAAAAGAAAATTTATCCATCTCAACACAGCCATCTAACACCAATACCTCAAGCTTAGGAATACTAAAAGGGATAACTGGAGAGTGTTTGTTACGCGAAAACCACACACGGTTGAAGATTAAAATAGTGACTCCTGAAAACGGGCTACTGGGTCCGGCAGTAACTGGGCAATTAAAAGCGAATCCAGCCAAATTGAGTTTCTTGATAGTCGGGCAGGAGATTATAGAAACAGGCACCTTGAATATATCACCACTATAATAAACAGAGAGGTGAAGTTGCTCGATTCCATTTCTAGTAAGAAAAAGGCACCAGCGATCTATATCCTGTTGTTGGAGCCTCAAATTCAGATATGAGCTTGATATAACCAGCTTAAAGATCTTGACAGGTCCAGATCTGAGCAACAAAATATTGGTTATCATGTTCACGAAATCCAAGCGTGGATCACCTCCGCATAATCTGATCGATCGGTTGAAGCTGGAATCAAACACCAGCCGTCCATGAGAATACCAAACATCCTTCCAATGACGTGAGAGGATAGCTGTTCTAGCAGCTTCGCGAGTGTCCAAGAACCCTAAGATTTTGTCTTGGATCACTGATGGCAGTTCACTTATGATATCAATTGATGCAGTGTTGTACCGACGACGACAACTTGCCATTAGGTCAAACAGAAAAAATAGCTTGTGAGTAGTTACTGTTCCCGCCGCCCCTGGCCGCTAGTGCTGATAGTCTGAGTTCAACTGTAAGGCAAGCGGCGGATTTGTTCAGTTTTCACAAATGAGCGGGATGCCGATAAAAAAAGGAGGGGCGGATTTGTTTTCACAAATGAGCTGGTGTCGATATAAAAAGCTAAAAATAATTAAAATACCCCAAAATTAATTAAGTATGTAAGCATTCCAAACTTACATATGTAATTTAAATAACGAGTAAAGGGTCAGTTTGGTCCTCGAAGTTGCATAAAAGGGGTCAAATCAGTCTTCATATAGAAGATTTTGTCCGAACGTGCCATATGAGGTGGTTCCCGGTGGAATTTCTTGATAATGATTTTTGAGCATCTTATTCATTAAGTCTAGTTCACTCATACCAAATTTCAGCTAAAAATTCAATCGGGAAGACATTCAAATGAATTCTTGAAGATAACTGCGTTTTTAACTGCACAGTTATCTTCAAGAATTCATTTGAATGTCTTCCCGATTAAATTTTTATCTGAAATTTGGTACGAGTGAACTAGACTTAATGAATAAGATGCTCAAAAAATTTCATCAAAAAATTCTACCGGGAACCGCCCTAAATGGCGACGACCGGATAGAAACTTCTATATAAGGACTTATTTAACCCCTTTTATGCAACTTCAAGAACCAAACTGACCCTTTACCCTTTAAATAACTCAAATTTTATATAAAAATTATTTTAGCATCATGATCTCTATTCTAAAAATCGTTTAGACGTCCGACTAGTCCCCGCCTAGGCACTAGGCGGTGGCCGTGCGCCCAAATTTTTGTCTAGCCGCTCCGACTAATTGGTTGCCGTCTAGGTGAATTACTCGGCCGCCTATGGTGCCTAGTTGTCCGTCTAGAGCGCCTAATCGGCCGCCTAGGCCGTCTAGATTCGTCGAACGTTACTTTACTTTTCAAATTTAATTTTCCAAACGATATACGTACTTTAACTTTAACCATGGATATAAATAAATGAAGTAGTAAATTAAGATAAAATTATACATGTTTGTATATATACCTAAAATTTATCATTATTTATATTTATAACATAATAAAATTGAGTGATTAGTTATCATATACTACGTATGATTAAATGTGATAATTTTATCTTTCATATTTGTTAATGTATATGTTTATATGTATTTTATAAATACAAAAATACAATATTACTTATCATATTTATGCAAAAATATAGATAAAAATGCAATTTCTATGTCGCCGACTAGTCCCCGACTAGGTGCCCGCCTAGCCGCCTAGGCGCTGGGCTGGCGCCCAACTAGCGCCTTGCGCCCTTTAAAACATTGATCATGATCATGTATTATATCTTTCAAAAATATTAGTTTTTTGTGTTAACTTTATAATTTAAAATATTTTATGATAAAAAAAATTAATTTAAAATATTTTAGCATTCATGAAAATATAATTGACATTCTAAATCTTAATTGTAAAATAAATAGTATTACCCCTCACTCTATACATTTGCAACTTTTTCAATTTGCGATTTTAAATTATGCGATTAACACAACAAATTTACATTTTTGAAATAAATACGGAGTAATACATTATCATGGTGTTAAAATAACCTTTTATATAAAGTTTCGGGGTATTTAAATTACATATGAAAGGTTGGGGTGTTTACGTCACACCCTTCAAAGTTTGGGGTATTATAATTGTTTTTCCCATAAAAAGTAGGGATCCTGGGCCTCTGCCTTGCTTTAAAGCAAGGTAGGGTGCCCGGCTCTTCCGGGCCGTTTGATCGAAAATTCGACGGTCAAAGATCATGGGCTCCACCCCTTCCCCAATCTCGAGGTCGTCCCCATCCCCTCCTTGCCGCCGGATGCCGCAAGGCAGTCTACCTTATGGCAGAGGATCTGAATCTAAAAAGTAGGTGTCACGCCCCGGACCTACCCGGACACGTCAACAATCCGCTGTACAGTACGAATAGTCAACCACAGTCCAACACATCTATACTATACAAGGTGTCTGGAATATCATTCACACATAGTACATCCATAAACAAACATAATGTAAAATATTCATTTGAAGCACTGGAATTAATATAACAAATGTTCAAGCCACATTTGGCAAACCTGGGCATACAAGCCCCCAAATAATTATTCAGGAAAATATTATCCATGAACATTAATATACTCCCTCCGTCCCATTGGACTTTGCCAACTTTCCTTTTTTTGTTGTCCCAAAAAACTTTGCACTTTCCTATTAAAGCAACTAATTTGTGACATTTCTCTCTCCTCTGCACAAATCTCAACCACACAGTTTTTACTATTCTTACTTTTCACCTACTTTGCACTTGGCAAAGTCCACCGGGACGGAGGTAGTAATTGTTTTCAAGACAAAAATGGAGGAAGCACGAACCACGTCTTCTCTCCTTGGTCCTCCCAAAGCAAATGGGCGATAGTAGCAACCTTCAAGTCCTCCCTGAAACTGTGAGGTGGCCTCCCCCGTGAAGGGGGGGGTCAGTACTTGAAAACATTTGACAAGTACAATGACAACTATACTAAGTATAATCAAAGTTTCAATTTCCAAGACCCCCAATCTAGGATGTTATTAATTTATAGTTAACCCACATTCCTTCATGCTAGAGCACGGCTCATAGTCATACTAATTTGTGCTAGAGCTCGGCTCATAGTCATACTACATTTTGCTAGAGCTCGGCTCATAGTCATTCTACATTTTTGCTAGAGCTCGCCTCATAGTCACACTACACTTTGCTAGAGCTCGGCTCACAGTCATACTACGTTTTGCTAGAGCTCAGCTCATAGTCATACTACATTGTGCTAGAGCTCGGCTCATAGTCACACTACCACGTGCTAGAGCTCGGCTCATAGTCACGTTATCTAATCTCTAAACAATTTCTTAGTCTAGACTTCATCCATTTTGAGTAACCCTTAAGGCCTACTCCTAATGTTACTTGGAGCTCATAAAGTCCATCTTAAATTATCCCCTTAAAGTCATTTAGGGCATACTCATCACAAATTTAATACCTTAGGATTAATTCTTCGATTACTCTAACTATCCTTCCGACTAGTATATTTCAATGCTGGTCAATTGACCTTAGCACAACCAAATTCTTAATTCATAGTGATTTGTTCATTTCAATTTAATTCTGCATCCAAGTATAAGTTGTCTTTAATATCAACATGTCACTTTATCCCTTCAGACTTCTTTACATGAAGTAAAAGTACGTTAATCACAATAAACTTTATGGTGAGAGCAACCATCATGCCATCATATTTATAACACATAATCATACACAATTTATTCCAAAATTTGTATACTATGCATTCTTTACTTATAATCAATAGTAATTTTATTTAGGCTTTATTAATCATTAATAATCCATGCCAGCACATTTAATTCATTTAGATAATCTTATGAAATTAACCCAACAATTATAAGCAATATAGTCGGTCATCCTCAGCTCGAATAAATGCTATGAAGTTCTACCCCTCTTGGTTGAACTCCGGCGAAACTGCGGCGACTTTTGACGTACTCCGGTGACCCTTTCAACTTCGTGAAAGCTCTTGAAAAACCTTAATCAAGTTCCTAACAAGGTTTTAACATCATAAAACCTTAATTAATACAAATAACCTCTAAAAGGTTATTTTCCGGCGAACTTGTTGGTTTGGCTTTTAAGTCTGTTCTTGGACTTAGAACCACTCTCCAACCCATTATTCTACACTTAAATTATGTAGAACAAACCTCAAGGTTCTTCATATGATATATATCTCATATGATAGAAGAAAATTAAAGAAAAAGTTATGATAAGGTCATTACCTTAATCCTTTCACACTTTTAGCACTTTAGCTCCTTTTCTTGGGATTTTTTCTTGTAGAGCTCTCTTCAACAATGAAGAGAGAGGGTGGAGAGTTGCTTGCTCTTGCTGGGCGGAGGCTGGCCGAGAGATGAGGGAGAGAGTGGGTGAGGATTTCCTTTTTGGCATCTTTGCCAAATGAGTGAGAATGGGGCCCTTAAGATGTCAAGGTTGTCTCTCCCATCTCCTCAATGGTTTTCAGCCCATATTTGACATAAATCAGCCACCTTTTGTTGCCAAATTCGTAGGTTGGCCCCCACCCATGTGGGAAGTCAACCCTTTTTGTCAAGAAGTGTACAATCGGCTCCGAAAGTTGTATTTTTCGGACTGTTTTGAATACATTTTATTTTATCGGATCAAATAAAATATATTACGTGTTCTCAATCATTATGACTTTTATAATGAATATACATTCCCCAGCTTTAATTTATAAGCCTCCGAAATTCATTTCGGGCTGTTATGTGTTGAATTACCAATACTGGTAATTGGGCCACAATTGACCCATTGGTCAACTCTGGGCCTTTTCATGGCCCAAATGAAGTATCCACCACCATATAAATATTATCTAGACCATGATGAATAAAATATGTGGTCTCGGGAATATCGGGTGGTCCCCGCTCCCGCTGTGGGCCTCACGTGCAAATTTACTATTCACGCAAAAGCATTAATAAAAATTCACAACTTCGTAACATCATTAACCATTTCATAAGGTTCAATACATTATTCACTTAAAAGCAGGGGCGTATCTACTATGGGGGCAGGGGGGCAGCTGCCCCACTCAACCCCCACCTAACCCCATTATATATATATATCAAATTTAATTTGTGTAATATTCATATTCTACTATGTATGTATAATACAAATTTAGCATCCCTAATGACAAAACAAGTTTCGTAGCCCGCTGGAATGAGTGATGGACACTTTGCTGGTGTGCCCGAGTTCGAGTCTCTCTGGCTACTCTGAGAGTGGACTAATTTTTTGCCCCAACTCTTTAAAATTTGTCCAATATAACATTCAAATTAATTTTTTTAAATGTTAGCTAATAAATGATACTCCGTATGTAATTCCAACAAAAATTTCAATAACATATTTTTACACTTAATATTAAAACTTGTTTGTTTATTTATAACTTAAATTACTTATAATTACATATTTCATCCATTTCTTATATACTTTTGGTTTTGCATGTAATAAACTATAGATTGTCTAACACTCTTAACCTAAGATCCAAATTAGTTAAAAATAATTTATTTTAAAGCAACTATTAAATGA